ATGGGGTTGCTGGAGGGAACGGGGCCACCGAAAGGCTTAGGCTGGCCTTCTTCTGCTTCCTCCTGGGCTCTGGGCCGGCAAGGAGGGGGAAAGAACTGGCCCAGGAACCATCTGGACTCACAGCATGGCCTAAGATGGCCCTGGGCCCAAGGGAAGTGAAGCTAGATAGGAAGTTGAGGATGAGGCTGGGGCTAGATTCAAGGAGAAAAGTGGGTCATCTGTTACCCAGAAATCAGGTGCTTAGCCCAGCAGTCCCCCATACCCCACTTCTGTCTCCCTGACTTCACCACCCTCAGGAGGGGTAGAAGGGCCAGCCTAATAGAAAGACCTCAATAAAGAGGATGAGGTTCATCCAGAGAACCCAGGATAACAACAGGATAACAACAAAATCCTGACCCAAGAGGCTGAACACTGGACCTGAGGCTGAGGAAGGTGAAGCATGACCAGCCCCCAAAGACTCTTGTGTCAATATGGCATGGATACTCAATTTGTTGTGACAGGGAATGGGGGAGTTGGTTGGGGGAAGACTGTAAGTAGAGCTGGATGGACAGTGGGGAGGGAGCCAGAAGAAGCCAAGGGTCCATGACCTCTAACTAGAAACTCCAAGGACTGGACATATTCCAGAGTTCAGTTTTTTGGAGATTTTAGGAAAATGGGTACAAAATCTTTGACGCATGCAGCACCCCCAGCAGGGGGGCCCTGGGTGGGCCGTTGTGAACAGAGCCACTTGAACATTAAACATGTAGTAAAACTTGAATACTCTTATACCTGAGGACACTCACCACCTCACGCTAACCAACGAGGTGATCATACTCTACTAACTCCCAGAAGAACATACCATCCTTATCCTGTCCAGACCCCTATAAGCACACAATGAACCCTCAGTGTCTTGTTCCTTCAGTACACACTGGACTGAAGGCCTCTCTGCATTTTAACTGCTATCAGCACCTGCAATTTTTCTTTATCTCTAATTCCCATCAGCACACAAAGCCCCACCAGAGCACAGAACCTTCTAAGTTGACTCTTATCACCACATTCTTGGTCCCCTCCCAGGCCCAGCTGCCTGTTAGCTTCTCCACAGCACTCACCCTCCACAAACACAGTTCCCTCTACATGATTCTGACCCCTATTAACATGCACTTGGGACCCTCTACAGCTGACCCACATTAGCATTCACTAGACGTTCACACTGCCCTAAATCCCATTAACACAAAGTGAACCTTGCAGATCCCTGACCTGACTGTTTTCGCCCACACTCAGACCCCTCCACAGCTATGACTATCATTAACACATAATCTGGTCCTCCCACTATCCTGCCCCCGCCACCTCCCATCAGCACAAGCTGGACCTTCACTTCGCCCTGACCTCTATTAGCCCGCACTGGGCCTCAAACAGTGCCTCCCCATTAGCATACCCTGAACCCTTACTCAGCCTTATCTCCAGAGACAAACACACTGTTCTATGATGGTCTGACCCTCATTAGCACACAGAGGTCTTCATTCAGCCCAAACCCCTATTAGCACACACTTCAGCCATCCACGGTTGTAATCCACTTTAGCACACCCAGACCTTCACACGTTCCTGTCCCTTATTTCTCTATTTCAACTTCTCCACAGCTATAATATAACCCTTGTTGGTTCACACTTGGATTCCTTCACAGCCCTGATCCTCCTTATTGCATACTAGAAACCCTCCACAGTTCTACCGCCCATTAGCACTCCCTCAAACCTCAACACATCTCAGTCCCCTGTGGACACAAGCACACAGTCTTCACAATGTTCTGATATCCATTAGCATATTCCAGATCTCATACTGCTCTGACTCTCCCCCCACTGGCACACATTTAAGCACAAGCACCTCCATGGCTCTCAACTCACATTAGCAGTCGCTAGAACTTCATCAATCACCCTACTCCTTAGTATATCCTAGAACCTCACATGCCCTGTCCTCATGGACACACATTAATCTTGCACCATCTTGATCCTGAATACACTGAACTTCTTACAGTGCTAAGCCACTCCCCTTATTGCCCCCCACGTCCATATAGCCACATCCCAACTCTGATAGTCATTAGCACAGGTTCGGGTCTTCCACCACGCTGCCCCCATTAACATAGACTGGGCCTCATATTATCCGGACTTTAATTACCACATGCAAATACCCTCTACAGCTATGACCCCCCCCCATTAACACTCTCAACGCTCGAGTTCTTCCACTACCCTGCCCTCCATGAGCACACTCTGGACCCTCACACACTGCAATCCCTCATGAACAAATATACGTATTAACACCATCCTGGCCCTCATCACCACACACAGAGCCTCAGAGCCTTGACCCTATTAGCACGCCTTTTGGTACCTCTACCACCTTATCCCTCATTAACACACTGAGGACTCTTCTACAGCTACAACTCCATTTGCATATCTCAGCACTTCTGACATCCTCTCCCCTATTATACACGCTAGGGTCCCTCCACCGCCCCCGCATGAGCACACACTGGGCCCCAAACCTTACACAGCGCTAAGACTTATACCACATGCTCCGACTCCTCCATAGCTCAGGCCCCCATTAGCAAACCTCAACTCTTTCACCACTCTGCTACCCATTTCCATTCCCTCTGGTTCTTCGATCACCCCGCTCCCAATTATAACCCACAGTACTTCCCACTCTTAGCTCCGAGACCCGACCCAGGGCGGGGCCAAGGTCAGGGAGGCACTGAATGACCCCCTGTCTCGGTGCATTCTGGGCAATTCGCTGGGGGGAGGAGACCCAAGCCAGCGGGGCAGCCCAGAGCCCTGGGCAAGGCCGGGAGTCTGGGTTGGTTCTGTAGGAGGAAGGGAAGCCCCCACCCCACGTCTCGGGGACGCGCTCACCGGCGGGGGCGCGCGAGCAACCTCAGCGCCGCGGGGTCGGCGCGGAGGGGCCTGGGGCGGCGG